AAGGATTTGTGGTTCAGAGTATATACATCAAAAGTAAGTGCTTGGAAACAGATATTTTCTAGTGTATGCCATGTGTAAGCTATCTGGAAAGAAAAATGCCTTTTTTCTACTTTAACCGTACTCTTTTGTAATATAAATTTACAGTACAACAGATTAAAGATTTTTTTCTTGCTTGGTGATAATCTTTCTTGGCTTCAGTCTGTATTTTTTATGTGCTATCTGTAACCGAATGCCTCCAGAGCATTCCCCCCTTTTTTAAAATCCTGTTTCCTGATGATGATTCTAAGCCCTTTTGCTTCCACAAGGGCAGAACCTGGAACCATCGCCACACTCCCAAAGCCTTGGCTGCAGCCCCTCAGAGGCCTCCCAAAGTTGTTCCTGAATTTTAACTTTTAATATGTCAGTTACATGGTATTAAGCATACAGTTGGAGATGAATCAGTTTGATTATGTTTAATATCAGTTAAATTGAAACACAAATAAAATCAACTCCAATTTGGTTTGTATCTTCCCCACCCATTTCCACTTCTGGAAGTGCTGTGCTGGCAAATGGCTGAAAGGCCAGAAAGAAGTGGGCTCCTGCTTCATTCTGTAAGAGGCATGGTGGCTCTTAGTGAAATACCTCCTTCTACTGTACATGTTTTATGGAAAAGTTGCTAGAAAGGGCACAGATAAAACTTTGCTGGCCTTTGCTGACTTGGGCATTATTTACAGTATTAGAATATTCTTCTGGGGCAATGATACAGATGGTCTAGGCATGTATTTGCTTCTCTCCACATGACAGCAGAGATTGTAGCAGAGTAATTATCTAATTCAGCCCCATATTTATCTGCCCAGATCATTCGTATCTCTTGTAGACCACTCCTCTGCTTCATGATTGTTGTTTTGACTGTCTAATTTTGGCTTTTCCTTGCCTTCTTCCTTAGAGGAAAAAAGATTGGAGTATTATATCTGCAGTTTTTCTCTCTGGGAGAAATAGGAGAGAGCAAGAAAACAAAACAGATAACAGAGAAGAGCTAGGGAAGTTATACGTGACTTCATACTAAAAGGGATGTATTTTAAATTTGTTAGTAATATCAGTTCTCAAACTCTGAGAAATGACAGTTGTCTCTATTATGGTGCTATTTGCAAGAAGAGGAAATGTCTTCCTAACGCAACTAACTTCAGCTGAGATATTTTCTTCTTTTCTTAATATTGCAACTAGATTAAACCGCCCGCTCAGCCAGCTGTAATCCTAGCAGTGATTAACCCCCCCCCCCTTTACACAAGACACACAGACATACTCACACAGTGATTTACATTTTAAAAAACTGATCATGTGAGTCCAAGGCACAAGTTACATCCTCTCCAATTGGACCATGGGTTGCCCATTCTCAAGAATGACTAAGTGTCTGCTGTCAGAGGAAGGCATAGAAACAACTTATGTGCAAACCTGAGAAATCTTTCATGGAATCTGTGCTTTCCTGTCAACATGTTTTTTTTTTCTACCTGGTTTTCAAAACTGGTTCCCTTTTTCATCATTGTGAACCTGACATCCCACACCAAGCATGGTAACAGAATTAAAATGCTGCTTGGATGGTCATGGTGAGTCATTGGTAATTGCTTCAAGGGAGTAATCCTGGTCACAATCTGTTAGTTTTGCTTCTGTTGTTCAGTATGTCTTGGCAATAAGAAATAGCTACTAGAACACGTGCAACGTTTGTGAGGATGCTCTCTTTGTTCTCCTTGAGAATATCTCATCATTATCATCTGTTAATTGCTGTTTCTGTTGTATATTGTGTGATTTTTACTCTATTAGGAAGGTTTTAGTGTATTTAATATGTTGTAAGCCACGAGTCTTGAAGATTCAGCAGCGTATACATTTAATAAATAATAATAAATAAATATTGGGGTTACCTTGGATATTCTTTCCTAAATTAAAGTATTAAAAGAATCATCAAGGACAGCAGTTTAATTGGATTTCCTATGATAAATGGCCAATGCAAGTTGGATCATGTCACTGAAAAAATGGATATTAGTTGAAGCCCTGAGTTTCTCACAAGCGGGAGACATAGTCCTCTTCAGTTATTCTTTTCGCCTTACAACTGGTCTTTGGAGACATGTTGCCCCATTTAAAGCCATACACATTACTGGCCAACATTACACTTTGTAATAATGAATTCCACAGGTTATTTGTGTGTTGTGTGAAGCAGGGCTTTTGTCTGTTTCACATCACTTTCATTGGATGATCCTAGTTTTGGATATTTTGAGAGAGGGAGAAAAATTCTCCCTATTACTTTCTCCATGATTTTATACAACTCAGTCATGCACCTCCTTCCCTCATCTTTTTTCTAACTTAAAAAGAGCCCAAATGTTTTAGCCTTTTCTTTTGTTTTGTTCTAGGGAAATTGTTTAAGCACCCTGATCATTTTGATTGTCTTCTTTTCACTTTTTCCAGTTCTAGTATGTCCAATGTATTGTCAAAGGCTTTCACGGCCGGCATACGATGGCTGGTGTGGGTCTTCCGGGCTGTGTGGCCGTGTTCTGGAAGTTTTGTTTCCTAACG